AGTCCATCAGCCACCTATCTGTCATATAATAAACAATTATTGTGACTCTGTCCTGTATAAACACTATATAACCTGGAATTTAAGATATGGTCTCTTTGAAAACATGTGTAAAATAAATATATACATATATATATTTATACAGTTTTATAAAGTTTTATAAACTGTAGTTTTCATAGTGATTGAAAAAATAGAAAGGAGTAAGATAGCAAATCAGATACAAGTTTGCTCAGTGTCCCACAAGGCAATGAGAGTGTAACATTTGCAGTTTTATTTTTCTACTAGAGAGAAAAGAAGTCTTCACAAAGATCAGGTTTCTATGCCTCAAATCCTAAGATGACAGGGTTGTAAATATAATAAATAGTAATAACACACATATAATGACAAGCCAAGCTCTGTACTACAGTGAAAGTCACAGAGGCTTCTTTTGTCTAATTCCTGTCTTAGATAATTTGTCTTAACAAAGCTAAGCATACCACAACAAATTTCCTTATCAGTTTAATGAAGCGGAAAATAACAGGGAAGGTATTTCTTCTGAGCATGGAACCAGATTACCTAGAAGAAAGGGAATCTCGGAACTAAGTCACAATAATGCAATCGAAACAAAGGAAAATTTGATTAGGCAACACTTAAAAGCTGCCAGGATGTTTTTAATGACATGTAATTAATAAGTATGACAGCTACCAAATGGAGAGAAACTGAAAATGCTCACCTGATAATAATTTGTCATATTTATTTTAAAAAGAGAAATAATACTTTGGAGATGGAAAAGCAAAGTTGCTACTTTCAAAGTTGTGTTTATAAATCCAGTAAGGGAATGATTATGGACTACATTGTGTCAACCAAAATCGCTTATGTTGAAGTCCTACTCTCCAGTGCGCCTATCTGAAGAGCTGTCTACCAGGAGGTAACAAAGTTAAATGAGGTCATAAGATTGGGCCCTAATCTGATAGGGCTGGCATCCTGAGGAAACACCAGAAATCTCTCTCTTGGCCAAGCGAGGTGGTACACACCTGCAATCCCAGCACTTGGAAGCTGAGGAAGGAGGATCACTGGTTTGAGGTCAACCTGGAATAGACAGTGAAATTCTGTATGGAAAAAAATCTCTTGAAGTGACAAAAGAGAAAGGCCATGTGAGGACACAGTGAGAAAGTGGCATCAAGTAGCCAGGTAGGGCGTCCAGAAGTAGAAGAGGATAAATGCCTGTTGTTCAAGCCTCACAGTCCCAGGTATATTGTTCTGGCAGACCTAGCAGATGAACGAAGAAGACATTTTTCAATGATGCTGACTGACATAGCCAAATGACAAACTTGGAATCAATAGAGACAGACTTCACAGAGCCAGTTATGTCACAACTACAGCACATAGATGATCCTGAGCGAAAAATCAGCAGCACTAGGAAACAGACCTGGATCCTACAAATTGAGAACTGAGGCAAGGAAGTGTGCGAGCAGAGGAAAGGAGACAAAGTTTTTTCTGGAGACTGAAAGTGCCTACTCTAGAGCAGTTACCTCAGTGGATTGTGAAGACCCACTCACAACTGTCACAGCAATTTCCTGTGAATCTATGTATTATAAGTTTGAAACCCCTAAACAGAAAGACAGGTTATTTACAAAGAAAGGAAAAGAAAACAAAGTGTGGTTATTAGAATATTCTAGTAAATCATGTTCTAACTCAATTGCCAAAGTATAGTTATTTGGAGGCATGGATTCACAGAGAAAAAGTCCAGGCTGAAATGGATATGGATATGGATATGGAAATGGATATGACATACTTCATGTGTCTTAGAAGAGAAAAGTGGAACCTGGAAAATTTCTGCACTGAAATCATAGTTCACCAGTGGTTCCACTAAGGAACCTCTTCTTTTGGCCACCAACCAGAAGAAAAGTGCAATTTAACCCACTAGACAGCTGAAATGGCACAGCTAGGAGGCAATGAGTTACACAATGAGTTAAAGGTCAAACACTCCTTGCCCTGACAGTGAGGACCCTGGGACACGCACTGGTTTGCTGATGACAGAAGACATGAATGAGGTAACTGGTTGGCAAATTTGCAGCAGTGTATCCTTGTCCCACTCTTCTATCTCTTTTAACTATGCATCTTGGTTTTCAGACACTGGTAAACTCAGGAAGTAGGCCATATTTAACTATAAAGATAAGAATGAATACTCAAGTTTGGGAGACAAGAAAGCTTGGAAGGAAACCAACCCAAAGGTGGCAAATAGCTATTTAAGAAGCTTTAGAATCAATGGGTTACTTCAGCTAAAAAGTATTTGGCCATTTTGAAAGCCAGTGAGAGCTATCTAGTAAGGACAAGTAGATTGCAACATTAACAGAAAGATGAATTTGAGTTGTCAAGCTTAAACAATTTGAAAAATGCAAGATATTAATAACAATTTATAAAGATTTAGACTGCTTAAGAGGAAAGCCAACACACCAGAGAGCAGATACCAAATGGTTTATGAAAGTATATTCAAGATTTAGTTAATACAGAGGCACATGCCTGTAATCCCAACCACTCAGGAGGCAGAGATCAGGAAAATCATGGTTTGAAGCCAGCCTATACAAAAGTTAGTGAGACTCCCATATCCACAAAACGAGCTGGGTGTGGTCACACACGCCTGTAAACTCAGCTATGTGAGAGGCATAAATATGAGGATACTGGTCTCAGGCCGGCCCTGGGCAAAAAAGTGTGAAACTCTTATCTAAAAAATAAATAAAGCAAAAAAGAGCTGGGGACATGGCTCAGGTGTTAGAATGCCTGGCTAGTAAGCATAAGGCTGTGAGTTCAAATCTCAGGGAAAAAAGATTTAGTTAATACAAATATATATTGAAAGTAATAAAGACAATTGTGACATATTATTTATTATAAAAATGTGTTAGTCATATTAAATGGAAAATGAAAAGAAGAGGGGCTATCTAGCATAAGTGAGAACTTGGGTTCAATCCCCTGTATTAAACAATAAACAAATAAAAAGAAAAAAACAGAAACCATAAAGAAAAGTGTACGGGGCAAAGAAAGTACAGTAGACGCTTGGAATCCATTGGTCTATGGCTCCAAGCAGCCCACCGTAGAGAAAAGATGATGCACACTCAGGATGCAAATTCAGCTGTACAGCAAATGCTGACCTCGTTTTCCCTGTCATCTTACTCAACCTCTGCTAAAGCTACCCGCCTTCCACAGAGCTCAGGCTTTTCATTTCAATTAAGCACATTCACTTTTTTTGCTTTGAAGGCACCATTTGCTTTTTGGGACCTTCACAAAAATGAAGGTCAGGGAGACACTCAGCTCACATAATAAACTAAACATAACAATAACACCAGACTGACTCAGAGGTGTTCTGCATCCACTGAGCTATGTAATGCACATGGGAAATTTAAAATTTTGTTTTTGAAATTACTTTTGATTTTCAAAATTAATTATTATTTTTATTTTGCTTGAACCACATAAAATAAACCTGCAAATAAGGGGGGCTTATTGCAATAGAAACTTGTCAATTAAAACATATAAGGGAGGCTGAATGTGATGGTGCATTACTGTAATGCCAGTTACTCAAGAGGTAGAGATAGGAAGATCACAGTCCAAAGCTGGCTGGGTATAAGCACAAGACCCTATATGAAAAACAAACTAAAAACAAAAGACTGGGAGCATGGCTGACATGGTAGAGTACTTGCCTAGCAAGCGAGAAGTTCTGAACTCAAAACCCAGTACCACCACCATACAAAAGGTATAATCACATACATGTATGTGTGTGTATATATACACACATATGTGGCAAATGAGTGATATAAAGCAAAGATTGCTGCCTGGCATAAAAACAAAAGCTAAAACTCTGTTGTCCTTAAGGGATATAAATAAACCAAATTATAAATAAAGATTCAACTTAAGATTTATCCTTTCTTGCAAATACAAGTTAAAGTTACTATAATAAACAAGATATAACAAAGAGTTGTGTGTGTGTAGATATATGTGTGTGTATACATACATGCACAAACAAAATTTAAAATGTTATAGCAACAATATATTCTGAAATTATTAAAACTGTTAAGTGTAATTATATTCAAAAGCCTCAGCAGCATATCACAGTTGATTTGACTAGATAAACATCTCAGTAAGTCAGAAACACCAACATCACTTCTTGCCTTAATATCTCTAGAAGTTCAAAAACATAGGATAAAATGTAACTATTTATACCTTTACAAAAACTGTTGCTCATTTCTGTTTGTCCCTTTGAGCCTCCCCACTGATGAAATTCATGATGTTCAGAGAGTTCCTCTCTCTGCTCTGTTCTTTAAGATTTTCCTTATGGGACTGGGCATGGTGGCTGTAATTCTTGCTACTCGGGAGGCGAAGGTCAGGAGGATTGAAGTTCAGGAGGAATGCAGTTAAAGGAGGATTCAAAAAGTTATCAAGACCCCTTATCCCAACAAACAAGCTATGCATTGATGATGCATGACTATAATTCCAGCTTATGAGGGAGGGTTGTTGTCTGAGGCCAGCCCTGGGCAAAAAAGCGTGAGACCCCATTCAAAAAATAAGTAAAGCAAAAAGGGTTGGAGGCATGGCTCAAACGGCAGAGCATTTGCCTAGCAAGCCTGAGGCCCTGAGAACAAACCTCCCTGAACTGCCACAAAAGAAAGAGATTTGCCTCAGGAGCCTCTCAACAGATGTGTATTATCGATGATAGATGCACAGTAAAATATCTCTTGAATAAAGGAATATATACTAAAAGCAGTAACACTTCCAAAACAGCCACATTGTTGAAAATAATTCCAATCATGTGAACAGTAGTTTCCTTTCTACCCTCACACTGGGTAAAACAGTCTTTTTTCCCTCAAAATGCAACGCCAATGCAGAAGTAAATATTATTTAAAACTACCTAGCATTATGAAAGTATCACAATGAGACCCATTATTTTGTACAATTTGTATATGCTAATAATATGTTTTAAAACACTATCTCATAACTACCAAGTAAAGTTAAGAAAATTTCTTTCTACTGACCTTGTAAGAATATAAGGCGAAAATGAAGCTGGATTATCCTGCTCTGAAAACAGGGGCATAGATCCTCCCATTATCCATAGTCGGAAGTACAAAATGACAATCACCTTCAGAGAACAAGAACATCTGGTAAGATGGCCACCAATGACCTCTTCCCTCTTTTTATGTGCATTTTGCTCCTCCTATCAAGTAATTGAATCAGTTGTCCTCCACTGGAGTCCCCTTGGTCTTGCAGTGTGTTGACCAAGAGAGCATGGTGAGAACACACTGTGTCAGTCCTAGGCCCAGCCCTTAACAGGCCTGCGACCTCTGGTTTGTTCGTTTAGAACCCATCTGCATTGTTGTAAGGAAGTCCTGAACATCCTTATAGATAGAGAAGCCACCAGGAAAGGACATTGAGGATAAGATGTCACAGAGACTGTGTGGAAGAGAAAAGGTGACACAGTCTTTATGGTAGCTGAGTAAACTTGCCAGAGGAACCCTAAGCAAAACTCATGATGATCAAAAGAACCACCCAGCTAAATACTGCCCACACTAAAACATTTAGGACAAATATATTGTTGAATTTATACTGCTAAAAAAGATAACTGAAACAGTCAGATTTCTATTGCTAACCCTAGAGACAAGGCAGCATTAGCACCTTGAGAGGGACTTGTAAAATACCATATGGTTCACACTGTATCACTAGGTTCACATATACCTAGAATGTTTTCACATATACCTTTCAATGCTTTGTAACAGTCATGGCATGTAAACTCTTTGATACAAACATCAGGTTGCTAGAATCTATTGTTGATTCTATTAAATAATCTGGACCATGTATCTAAAACTGAGTTAAAGTGAAAACATTTTTAATTAAGTATTTCAGAAGTACATTTATACTTACATAGCTTATGACCAAAATGGCCCTTTTTAAAAATGGTCTTATTGTAAGCAGGAAATTTCTATTGCTGCTTGCTGTGAGATACCTGAAAGAAGAAAGGAAAAAGAATCTTAAATAAGTGCATGAGACTACTATCTAATATCCCCTTTCAATGTGAATATGCTGTAGCTCTGAAAACGACTGCAAAAGATCCAAGCCAAGACCATAGCCTCTGGAGCCAAACATCTGGCTTCTTATCCATTGTTCTCTGGCTTGCCATCCAGAGACCCTGGGCAAGTTGTTTACTTTTCTGCACATTTATTTCTCTCACTAGAGGAATAATTGTATCTACTTCTCAGGAACGTTGTGAAGAGTAAATGAGATGATATATGGGATAGGACCTACCACTGTTAGCTATAAATATCATGATGCCTTCCAACACTAAGTAACCTCATCACTCTGACAACTATGTACTTACACTACTCATAGGGATGTACTTAAACAAAATAAGACTTTACTTTTGCCTATTTTATGTAATTTAAAGGGTACAATTGGTGTAGGGGTAAGCAGGATTGATGGCTGAAAACAATGGCTAGGATATGAATTTGAAAATATTCTGGCCTGTTGACATCAATGAAAAAATTCATAAGATGCCCCCAAAGCCTGGAAAACAGAAAGTCCTGGTCCAACCATCTAAGGCCAAAAAAAAGCTCATTGGACTTGGAGGAGTTCATGATGCATAACCTGTTCCCAGGAAACCCCTCCTATTTTCTAGGAATGAAAACCTGTGCATCTACAGATTCCAATAAAAGCTTATAATCATAAGACTTTTGATGCAGCCTCTCATTCTTGAGCCTGCCTCCTCTCCCATCTTGAGAGTGTACTTAGGCTTTGCTTTGTGTTAATACTGCTCCTGTTAAGTCTCCTCTATGTCTGCTCTTGAATTCTTTCTCTGACATAGCCAAGAACTTTCTGGCACTGACCTGGTAACCCAGTCTAGCTGACACAATGTCTTCTACTCAAAAAATATTTTCCTCCTAAACAAAGAGGTTCCCAAGGATGCTTGAGGTTAACTAGTTATTACAAGTTAGCAAAGTTAGTGAGTTTACCCATACACAACGAATAGCCTTCTCACCTGACCATGGTTCTAGGAAACAAACTACTTAAAGAACATTAACTTCTGGAGTGGCAGGAACCTGTGCAGACCCTGTATTTACCACAGCTCCAGAAATACACATATAAGATGTGTGATCAGCTGGCTTCCATAAAAAAGGGAAGTAAGAGAAGCTACCAACAAGCCCCGACTGAAAACATAAAGCAAGTCATATTCGCTTACATGCAAATCTCTACATTTTAAAGTAGAGGTAAGAAACTGAATCAAATCACATAATCCAACAAGCATTATCTCCCCTACTGATTTTTATTTTTTTCTTTCACTCCTTTTAATCCTATTTCTTCTCAAAGGATTTCCCTCAAAATTTGTATTTGATTTTTTTTTTCAGTACTAGGGTTTTAACTCTAGGGCCTTGCTCTTACTAGGCAGGTGCTCTACCACTTGAGCCACACCACCAGCCCAAAATTTGTATTTGAATGAGATCTCTTCATATGGGGGAATATTCTATCAGGACAGAAATTTTTTTCTCAAAACCTGATCGGGTTAGTGTCTCACAGACAAATATCCACGTTGGTTATTACTTACAAAATATGCATGGCTCCTCTGTTTGTAATCAATGTTTTGTAACTGCAGGGATACAGCAGCCTCACACAATGGCAGGTCTCTTCCTCCTCACTTTCCCTCACTTTCCTCTTCCTTTCTCAAAAATCTTGAGAAGTGATACATGCTCAGATCTGACTATTCAAATGCTTAATGAATGGCAAAAATGAGGAGCCCCCCCAAAACAAACCCCACAAATTAGAGTTGGCTACTACTGACCTTCGAAATGGATCCATTCGTAAGCACTACTTTTAAATCTTTCTTCTCCCAGTAGAGAGCTTAGCAAGTAAGAAGCCCAGGTGCATTGCTGCTGTCCCAAAATGAGCTTACGGGATTCCTAAAGTTGTGTATAAGATTTCAAATGTGTTTGCAACTGTGCATTTTTCTGAGGGAAAGTTGTTGACTTTGATGTTCAATATTAACAGGGTCCGTGATCCCATAAGAACAAAGCACTAGTAAGCATCTTTCTCACAGCTGTGCCTCTACTATTACTATCATTTTTAGGTCAACTCAACCAAGTCCCACCCTGGATATTTCTGCTTATCCAGGGTTAAAAGAAATGACAACAGGAAGTCAAAGGAAATGAATGACAGAGCAAGTCAGAAAGGTGCTAGGGAGGACTGGCGTGGAAATAAACTGAACAAGGAAAAATGCTTCCTGGTGAGGGGGTGTCAGGCTGTTTTTGGAAGCTTCATTTCTCACATTCCCTCTGTTGCTTATTTATTTCAACATGGCAAAAAATTAGAAATGGTTTTCCTCTCCATAGAACAACAAACCACAGAGTTTAAGATTTTTTTTCAATGTTAAACTTAAATGAAGTCCCCAAACTGAAAGCTTGCTGTTATTTCACTGATTATACTTATAAAGCATTCTCTGGTTTAGAAATTCTTGGTGAAATTCCATTTCCTCAAGAAGTTAAGCTAAGGGCACCAGATAATTTACTCTTAAAATATAACGTCCCAAAGCAATGAAATGGTACAGAGATCAGTGGTTGAAAAACCAAGACTTCTTGTCAAGACTTCTATTTACAGTTGTTAGCCCCACAGTAAATGGTAATGTAAGTCAAAATGACATGGTGCCCTTTTTTGAGAAACAAAACTTGTCCAGGTCAGCCAAGTTCAATTAGGGAGCAGCCAAGGGCTGATTTCGTTGCACCTTTCTTCCTCTTCACCCCCACATCATGGTCTATGTGGTAGAAGTGAACAACAATTAAAAGTAATAATCATATTATTATTATTAGCAGTAATAATATGACTGACAATATGTGCTAAACACTAAGTTATTTAAGTGTAACAACTTATTTGCTATTTATGATTTAATGAGGAAGAACATTATTTGTTCCTTTTTTATATAGAAGACAAAAACCAGAAGTAATAATGAACTATTATATCTGATTTCCTCACCTACACATTTCAACCATGACAAATGCCGTTACTAATACTTTTTAATTTCAGTCAGGTTTTCCTTGCAGAATCAGAGAGCATGCCCACAAAAAGCCAAACCACTGAGGAACCCACTAGAAAGAGAATCAAGGGCTCAGGTTCTCTCTTTTTGTTTCCATGACTTGGAACGAGTCTATAGGAGCCATCTCCTATACACTTTCAGCAATGATATTGGGCTAAATGGTTTCAAGGTCCTTTTCAGGTCTAAAAGATTATGATCCTTGGATGTTTTCATCAATTAATGACATCATATATGACAGAAGACAACCAGAGACACTTACCAAATTTCAAAAAAAGTAATGTCCAGGATTCAGAGGGAAGCAAATGCTAGCTGATCCTCTATTCTGAGTAGACCTTTGTAATATGTAGTTGCATATTGCTACTGTCAAACAATGTATTTTTAAGAACTTTGAATTTTTGCCAAATAAAAATAAAAAAATCTGAAGTAAATTTCCTAATTTATTGCTCGCACATACTCCACATTTTCTGACCATCAATATCCACTTTCTCTGTGATTATGTTCAGATTCTCAGTTAAAAAGTGACTTCTTCCTGAAGTTCTTTCTGAAGTTCATCTTCCACAGTAACTAAATCCTCAAATCCTACTGAGAGACTTAGAGACCAGAACAACGAGCCACCGAAAATCACCCACCCATCACCTTCAGAATTAAATGAATGCTTATTATTATAAGTCACTGACATTTTTTTAAAAACAGAAGTACCATGTCAATAGACACTTAATACATGTGACAAAGATTCTTTGTTTGATCAAACTTTAGTCAGGCTCTGGAAACCTCCCCAGGTCCATTTGTACATTTTCTTGTGAAATCCAGTTTCAGCAAGAACCCTACCAAGGCACTTTAGCAAAAGCCCCCAACCCCTGATGTCTGATCATCCTACATATCTGATCAGGTTCTTCATCTTCAAGCATCTCCAGGTGACGTCTGACCTCCTTGGCCTGACTTCGGCAAGAATCCTGCTAGGTCTATCCCCTCTTATTCACAGTATTTTCTTTCAGTAATTTTCCACCCCTTAACTTTTTCCCCATCTTGCTCCTAGGCTATAAATTTACACTTGCTCCCTCAATATTCAGAGTTAAGCCCCAAATCTCTTTTACTACAAAATTCCATCATAGTTTAATTCCTGTATCTACTGCAATAGGCCTCCTCTACCTTGAGTGAGTCTTCTTTAGCATGGTTTAACAAGTATAATGTGAGTGATTTTTTTCTTTTATAAATATAGAAAGATGACCAATAAAAATTTAGTGGCCTGAATTGAATCTTAAGAATTTTTATCTTGCCTCCTCTCAGTCCCTTGTTTTGTTCTATGTTTTCTTCATCTTCTAATACTAGGCTGGGTACAAAGTAAAAATGTTCACAGTTTGGAGTGTGGAAAGTGTGAAGAAGAGACATAAACCCCATTCCCATCCTCCACCCAAACTCAACCCCTGCTTAAGGAGGTGTGGCAGGAATAAAATACTAAGACTCAGGCAGAATGAGGAAGGAGTCGTCATCGGGGCCTAAGGAATACTAAAATACAAAACAGGGAAAAGCTTGGGAGGTGTTCTGCACATGAAATTCAAACCGTGGTCCAAGGAAGACACAACAACAACTCAATAAGGTCCACAAAAATGGAGACAGCCAATTAAAAGTAACCTAACCCCAGGTATAAAACATACTCTAAACCCTGTCACAGTGGGCTCTGCTCCCTTGTCTAGCTGCCTGCCATTGTCTTTCCTTTTAAATAGTATCTTAATTAGTCTTTGCTTTTCCTACTCTCTTGCCTTGTAAACTCTTTTACCAAACCCACAGCTCTGAAATCCATGACAGACAGCACACTAGAGGAGAAAAACCTTTTGGGTATTATCACTTTACTTATCTTAAATCTTGATAGTTTAAATGAATATTATATTAAGACTTTCTAGCCCTTCAGAATCTATACATCTGATAAC